TATAAAGAACATCAGAAGTTCAAAAATTTTAAGACAAAACTTTACATAAGTCTTTAAGGAAGCTGCAGGGGTTACAATGGCAGAGCTATAAAAGAACCCTGGTTTCTTTATGTAAGATAAGTGCTCCAGCCTTTGTGTCACTCCTGCCAAAGTCTTAACAGTAAACATTGGGTACAACACATTGTAGGTGGTCAATAAACATAGAAATGGAATAGGTGTGGATTATTTTGTAGTTGAGGTGAAAAATGTGTTCATTAACAGCCTAAAGGAATTTACAATCTAGGGCTGGAGCAACAGCACAGCGGGTAGGGCGTTTGCCTTACACGTGGCTGACCCAGGTTCGATTCCAGCATCCCATATGGTCCCTGAGCACCACCAGGAGTAATTCCTGAGTGCAGAGCCAGGAATAGCCTAGGCATCACTGGGTGTGATCCAAAAAGGCAAAAAAAAAAAAAAAAGGAATTTACAATCTAGTTCTAAAAATCAATTATCATCTCTGGATCAGCAGATCATCCTCAATAGTGCCTATCAGTGCCACAGCAGGCTCTGAATTGTGTTCCAGGGAATCCACCCTCAAACTCTTCAACATCTTTCTTACTCTATTTCTGACCCTTGACTTAAGTTATTGTTGAGAACTTTTGAATTTAGCCTGGTTTCGCACATTACTCTCAGCTGATTAGTGAATTAGTGCCTCAGGTACTAATAAATTTCATCCTTTTTGTTTGCTTGTTTTGGCACGGCTCAAAGGACCAAATGGGGTGCCAGGAAGAGAACCTGGGTCAACTGTACTGTGTGCAAGGCAAATTATTTACCATATCTACTATATTCTATCCTTACATATGCTTAGCCTAAAAAAACTAAAAACACCAAAAAAAAAAAAAAAACCCTTAGTTTCTCTTTTTGTTTTGTTCTGGTTTTGTGTGAGACCCCGCAAGACTATTCCCAGTTCGGAGTATGGGGGGAATCACTCCTGACAGTGTCTGGGGGTGTTCAGGGTACCATGTAGTGCAGGCCTCTTGCATGCAAAACACACACTCCAGCCAATTGAACTCTGTCTTCGTTCCTCCTCAACTTTACCGAACTGGATATTAAAGCCTCAAGAGTGGTGGATATTAAAGCCTCAAGAGGCTATTGCCCAAAGAGTGTTTCTTAACTTTTCTGACTATGGCCCCTTTTCGAATTTCTTTTCTCATATCGTGGCCCTGTCCTATTTGTTGGCCCCAGTTATAGAGCCCCCATTTCCTTGAACCATCATGGGGCCCATAGAGGGTCATGTAGCCCCTGGTTGCGAAATGCTGTCCTAAAATGTGTAAAATGATTAACAGAAATAGCAATAGAACACAACTGAGAAAATAATAAAAAATTGCTGGCAAACAAATCTAATAATGCTACTGAAGGTACTAATGAACAGTCAATGTGAGAAGAATCTAAGCGAGGCTGGTTATGAGTAAGAAACAGGAACTCTGCCAGTCAGTTGGAGACACTTAAAAAAGAATAGGAAAGTGACAAGTAAAATATTAGAGAAAATGAGTAAATTCATTTGCCTAGGTTCTGGAACTAAACAGTTGCAAATAAAAGAGATTAGGTATCTCAAAAAACTCACGAGGTAGACCCAATAATTATTATTTTGTATCAGAGAAATGTTAATATTTGCCCAAGGTCAAAAAACAAGTTAGGAATAGGGCCAGGAGTGAATAGAAATAATTTTTCCTGACACATAGCCAAATGTTTGTTTTTCAGACCATGATTCTACTCAAAGTCCTTCAACTTTGCTTAATAGAACTCATAAATCAAATTTCTCATCACGAATAACCTTGTCCTCATTCTTTTATTCTTAAATATATATGTTTACCTGAAGCACAGTTCAAGAAAAATACTTTAAACAGTAGCCCTGTTGACTGACACAATAGGTAAGGCAATTTCTGTATTTAAGAGACATAGATAATCTCTGTGCTTCTTCAAGAGACTACTATAAGATTTGTGTTTCAATAATAATATTTAAGGAATTAGTCTTGAGTTACAGATTATAAAGAGATTAATACTCTCTAGTAAAACAGACTTTCTGCTTATTCATTTCTTGGCATTATCATCTACAGTGCAGCCAAGGGTGTGTCTACAGTGTGCAAACATATCACTACCCTTTCTCACTACAGTAAATTCGAAAGAGAACTCTTCATCAGCACACAAAATGGTCTTCCCTTTTAGTTCAGTAGAAAAATTTATTTTTCTCCCACCTTATCCCCTACAGTTATTATTACTATTACTATTGTTATTATTAGGTTTGGGGATCATACCTCACTGTGCTCAGGGATCATATGTGGTGCTAGGACCAAAAATGAGTCTGTAGTATGCAAGCCAAGTGCTTTAATCCCTGTATTGTCTCTCTCCCTTCCCCTATACCTTATCAAGACCCAATCTTGTTTCCCTATCACTCTTAATTCTTTACATGGACAGTTTATCCCAAGAATATACTCATCTTGTTTCCACTCGAAACACATCAATTTTATGCAGAGCGCATCTAATTATCAACTAAACTTCTCACTCAGAACCACAGTGTGTGTGTGTGTGTGTGTGTGTGTGCGCGCACGTATGTGTGTGTGTGTGTGTGTGTGTGTTCATGTTCCTGGGAATCCATGTGGGATTTAGAAGGCATCAAGGATATTTTAGACACAGAATCAAAGGCCTATTTTCCAAGTGTTAGCCTTTTTGAACTCTTGAGACGAATGGCTGAAACACAGTTCACCAGAATGCAGCACTTACTGAGGAACCTGTGCCAGGCACTGTGTGAATTAAACATATTTTAATTTCAAACATGTTTTCAAACATGTTTCATTCAATCCCTACAACATCTGAAGTGTATTTCTTGCTCTCTTTATACAGATTTAATGCTCAAAATTACCCAAAATCATCTAGTGAAACTTGCATAATCTCAATGTTTGTGCTGGAACTTGAAAACTGTTTCTCAACCTTTCTCTACTATGGCCCCCCTCCTTTCCAATTTTGCTTCCTTGCTGTATACCTATGCCCCTTGTTGACTGGTCCCCTAGTTTTGTACTGTGGCCCCTCAGAATATTTAAGGGGTCATAAGGCCCCTGGTTGAAAAATGGAAATGCCATCCTAAATAATATTTTGTACCAGGTTCTGTTCCTGCTTTAGTGGCATTTTCCACATCTCTTTCACTATTTCATTACCTCCACCACTCATCACAATTTCTCTTACTTCACAGGCTGCCCTGAGCAATCTCATTTCCTACCATGAGTTTACAGTCTACGATGTTTCTCAACATATTAGCTTTTTTAATAAAAATAAAAACTTTTTGCTCTTCCAGTAACTCGCCTTTTGAAAACAACTTGTTCTTCCCAAAGATAAATTAAAATCTCAGATACTTGTTCACAATATACCTCCTGCGTCTAAAGATCTGATAGTCTCTTATGCATTACTGAGAGCTAGTGACAGATCTGTCTGTACAACCTCTCAATTCAATCTATCTTCCTTCACATCACCTCCCCTGAGTAACAAACTGTCAAATGTCTTCTAAAGTCATCAACACACACAAGAAAGGAGCTTTCAACCTAAAGTGATCAAACTAATACTCTCATTTTCCTAGAAAATCCCAACCATTTATGTTCTTCTCTTTAATCCTTCCTTTAATGTTTACAAAATAAACATACCAAGAGCAATTTTGGGTGACACATTTCCCCAGTTACAAAATTACTTTCTTTATAAAAAACACAAAGTAATCCTTAACCATGATCCCATTAACACCTCTGTTTTTTCAGATTAAAAAAAAATAACAATAAGAGAAGCCGCTGTGAGAAACGAGATACAGCTTAACGGGCGAGAGAGTATACTTTGCATGTAAGAGGTCTGGATTCAATGCCCAGCATTGCATGGTATCTGAGCACCAGCTCGGTGTAGATGTCTCCCAAGCAAAAAAAGAAAAAGAAAAGAAAAGCCACCTGGAGACAAAGATATACAGCAATTGAACCAAGTTTTATAAGCCGGTAAAGCAACCGATCAGACACAAAACCGCCGGCCTCTGAAGGCAAAGGCCACTGTCACTGCTGAAATAAACTTACATACAGCAAGATGAAAACAGGTGTGTGCACAGGAAGTGGACCGCAAGCGCAAGGCCAGGACTAAAGGGCACTCTAGAGGAGGCCTGGCCTTGGGACTTCCGGCCCGACCCTGGCTCCTCGCCCCCCGCGCCTCTCTCTGAGCCGAGAAGACGCTCCACGGCCAGTCTCGGGTGGCAGGCTCAGGCCGCGGCGTGGCGGGGAAAGCTACGCTGCGTAAATCCGGTCGCGCGGAGCAATGGGATACTCCCGAGAGCGGAGCCCAGCGGGGCCAGAGGCTCAGTCCAGGCTCGACCCCGCCGCCACCGCGCCTGCCTTCCTCCGGGACCGCAGTCCCGTGGGGAAGGAAAAGTCTACCTGGGGGAGGCGGCGGCTGGCGGGCAAGCGATCCCGGACTCCCTGGAAGGTGGGTACAAGACTGGGGGTGGGCTCGGCCGGTGCCCGGCGTACAGTGCATCCACTACGAGATGTGAAGTCCACAAGAACTGTCCGCGGCCGCGCAGGATCGCGACACGGCTAGCGCGCAGCGGGGCGGATCCGAAGCAGAGGAGGGCATTGCGCTGGGGGGAGGGGCGGGGGCGGAGACACGGGCGGGGCCGGACGTGAGGGGCGGGGCGCGCTAGGGGGCGGGGCCAGCAGGCCGGGGGAGGCGGGGCGCGCAGCCGACGGGGCGGGCACGTGTGGGCCGGCGCGAGGCGGGGCACGGCGCGCGAGGGGGCGGGACGCACGTCTGGGGCGCCGCGGCCGCGTGACGCGTTTTCAAATCTTCAACCGCCGCTGCCCACTCGTTTGTGCTCGGCTGCTCCCTCCTCCGCGCTTCGGAGCCCGTGCTGGCGGCCGGAAGCCGCTCTGCTACTCGCGGGTGAGGGTCTTGCGTGGAAACGAGAAGCCGGCGCCCCTCCCCGACCCCCCGACTCCCACAGACACACACCACACACTCCTCAAGGAATCGTGTTTTCGCGGCCGCCCGGCGCCAGTCCCTCTCAGCACCCAGCATGTAGGGGCCGGGCGGCTGCCATGAACTCCGGAGCCATGAGGATCCACAGCAAAGGACATTTCCAGGGTACGAAGCCCCTCCTCTGCCGTGCCGCGCCGTCCCTTTAATCCTTTCCTTCGCCGACGGGCCCCCACCCCCCACCTCCCCCCCACGGATCCTCGAGCGTTCTCCCGCCCAATCCCGCCGCCTTTCTTCTCCCGCCGCGCCGCCGGGCTCGGGTCCCGGGCTTCAGCTCGAGGAAAAAGGGACCGGCCCGGGCTCCCTCCCGTGCTCCTCGTCTGAGGAAAAGGGACCGGCCCGCGCTCCCTCCCTCCCTTGCCTCCCGGGCCCCAGATGGCCGGCCCGGGTAAAACCGGAAAACAAAAGTGCGGCCCCCGGCACCGCTGGCGCTGCGCTCCGGGTGGGCTGGAGGCTTGGAAGTGGAGGGGCGGGGGGGGGGGGGGGTTCTTCCTTTGGTGTCGCTTAGAATTGAGGGCAAGGAATCGGATTTCGGACCCACCACGTCGATCTTTTTCAGCGTACAAAGACAAAAAAGAAAAAGCCCAGGTCCCGTTTCCCATCCATCAGCGCGATGTTTTTTTCTTTGGAAATTGTCGCGTGTATAATTAGAGAGAGAGACGTACGTGAATTTATCTTTTAGAATTCAACCGAGCCAACTGGGATCTAGACGGTAGTTCTTAAATTTGGGTCTCATCGACTTTCCGTAGGAAAGGAATGTTGGGTCTTTTGCTTCTTAAGAGGCCAGCTATCGAACCAGCCGGCTTGAGCGGTGGGAGGGCCTTTCAGGTCATTCTGGTTAAATAGAGGTTCTTTGCTTTTATTTATTTATTTTTTGGCCAAAAACACTTTGATCTCCTGTTGTGTGTTCACCACCAGAATTGGCAAACGCCGGCTCGATTACTAGTGGGGTCCAGCGTTTTTGCAAGAAAAAGCTTTGTATCATTTATCATTCCCTGCCTTAATACAATAAACATGAATGGACTATTTCGTGCTGATCAGCTATTGGCTGTGGACCAGAGTTACTCGACTGCTTAGTGATCTGTTAAAATTTAGACTGCGTTCTTTCCCTCAGCCAAAGGGTACTACAGAGAAAGATTGGCATCTTTCTTTAAATGCTAATGTGTGAGCTTAGTGGAGATTTTATTTTCCGCTTTGATAATTATTGTATAAAGAATTTACGTTTTGAGTTTGCAGCGACACCTGGCCTTGCTCAGAGATTATTACTGACTCTGTGCTCAGGGATTGCTCTTGATGGGGCTTTCAGGGGACCATGTGGTGCTGGGGATGGATCCTTGGCTTCCTGTATGCAGGGCAAGCACCTTAACTGCTCTGTTGTAGAAAATGCTTTAAAACTGACAATTGTGCATAAAAGATGTGACTTAAACTTTTTAATCAGCAGGTGGAATCCAAGTCAAAAATGAAAAAAACAGATCATCCTTGAAATCTCTGAAAACTGATAAACCGGAAAAACCCAAACATAAACCACTTTGGGGAAAAGTATTTTACATTGATGTGCCTTCCATTGCCCTATCGGAGAAACTGCAAAAGGACATTAAGGATCTGGGAGGGGTAAGTCAAATCAGACATTTGTGGTGATACGAGAAAATTTTGTGACTATAGCAGTGGCTTCCAACAGAAGCAATCCAGCCAATTTGCAGAAAACATTAGATGCTGTTTAAGGTACGGTACACATGGATAAAATTTTGCTTCATAATACTAGGCTTCAAAAATTAAAACAATGTGTAATGTTTTATTTCTGACTTAGTGGATCATGAAATCTCTTGACAGTTCTGCAGGTGTAAGAAAACTGAAACCACTACTTTAGTATATGTAACTTAAGTTTTTTATATTAGAGAACCTATTTGTTTCAACTTTTGGTAGCCTGATAATACTTTCAGTTTCTGTGCTTAATGAATCTAATGTGAAATTTACAAAGTAAAAAAAATCCTTTTACCTGGTGGAACAGCTGATTTGCCTTTTCATTGTAATCTGAGATATTTTTCACATGGCAGGTACTCTCTGATTATGATTATTGGAGAGCTGCATAAATTTGTTTGGACTCCCATTAATGTTGTTTAAAGAACAAGGAAAACAACTGCTTTTGAGCCACAGTCAAAATTGTGAGTGCTATAGTCACAACAGAATGAATGTCATAAGGAGAGTTTGGATAAAATACGGAAAAAAGCATTTCCTACCTTACATAATGAATAAATGATTAGGAAATTTAGAGTATTTGTCTAAAGTCTTTATTAGGGTTAAGGCAGATAAATTTTAGCAAGTGAGTTTAGAATTTAATTTAGTTCATAATTCTGTCTGTTTAAAGACTTATGCTATGCTTGAGTTGTCATGGCAACATCTTTGAATAATCCTAACAAGTCTTGTCTTCCAAAAATAGAAATTTGCAGAATATAAGCAACCATCCTAGAATTGTCAATATGATACTTATTTTTGAAATGTTCTGCTTTTTTGTTATTCATTTCATTAAACATTTTTTATTAATAGTAGCAGCGTGTGTCATGATGGTTATGTGACTGCATTCCAGAAAAATAAAAAATAAAAAATCTATTGGGGTCAAGAGTACAGCCTATAGGATGTTAACCTTGCATGAGGCTGACCTTTGCTCCTTGTATCACATACAGTCTACAGCACCTCTAGGAGTAATTCATGAGTGCGGAGCATCTCTGGGTGTGGCCCAAAACCAAAAAAAATTATAATTTCTAAAAAAAAATTATAAGCCTGCTGCCCAGTGACTACAACCAAGACTGTCTCAGTGAGTTAAAACGCTTAGACACTGGTTAAAGATCCTTCATTTCAGGAGACGGGGAGATTGAGTAGGGAAGGCACCCATCTCCCTTGTGACCAACCCTGGTTTGAATACATAACATCTCACCACCAGGTGAGAGTCTTCCCTTTTCACTGGCAGATGTGGCCCACAAAAGATTCTTTTTTGAAACAGGAAGCTTGTAGAGAAGTTAACTGACCTTAAATATTATTCACATAATTTTCAGACTAAAATGCTAAACTATTCATTTCATCTATCAGTAAATAACTTAGTTTTGCAACATTCTTACATATGTTGAGCTACATAGATCTCTTCTGAAGGAAGACACTATTGATTTGTGTTTTTAGGGTAAAACCCCTCAAAATATACTGAGAAAGTAGCTCAGTGGTAGAGCACTTGACTTGTATATCTGAGGCCCTGGATTCATGAACATCCCAGACACCACATATTAACCCCTGGAACACTGCCAGGAGTTTTAAACCCCGAGTATGACCAGGTTGTGGCCCAACCCTTACCCTACCCACTCCAAAAAAAGAAAAAGAAAAAAGTCACTAGCAAAAGTAGCAGTATAGAAACCAGTGCAGAGATTGCTTGCTCTGTTGCTGTTCTCTTCTCATTGTAGTTCCTGAGATACTTGCAAGAAACATTTTGAATTAGTGTATACTATTGGCCACAACTTAAACTGTGGGATGTAGTCACGTAAGTGAATGTGGGAATTGTGAAAAATGTATAAATTTTCAACATTAAATTCTAAGTGTGTACTGACCAAAAATTAATGCAAACTCTACTGCATAATCAGTCTTAGGTGTTTTGGGCAGTGCTTGTTTGTGCTGCATATCTTGGGCAAAAGAGATCACAAGTGGAAAATGTTTAAGAAGCTGTATCATAAACCATACCTGTCTCTTAACCCTTTTTTGTCTATAAATCTTTGTGTATAGCCCTGCCATAGATAGTAGTTGAGAGCCTGTAGTTGAGTCTTCCAAATTTTAATTCAAAATGATCTGAAATGAAATGAAACTAGGAGAACAATAAAGGCATTAAGCTTCCAAACTTTCTCCCGAAGCTGCGAAATTTCAACTGAATTTTAACTTAAATTTTCAAAAAAAAAAAATTATCCCCATACACTTTAAACAGTTGAGTAATATACTAATTCTTTTTTGTCCCTATTCCATTATTCTGTTGTTAACAAATGACTTTGTTAGGTAGCTCTTTTCAGAAATTGAAGGAAACTTGAACTTTGGATACTGAGCATTAGGGTTAACACTTATTGTTGAATATGTCTTCCTTGAAAGGACTGAAATTACTGATTATTAGAATTTCCTGAGCCCTTTTCTTTTTCCTTTTGTAATTTAGCTGTAACTTCAGAATATTGCCCCTGTTTATTTTTTAATTTTCACTTTTTTGTTTTTTTGTTTATTTTTTGGCCACTCCCATCAATCGTCAGGGATTACTTCTGGTTCTGCACTCAGAAATTACTCCTGACAGTGCTCATGGTGCCATACGGGATGCAAGGACTCGAACCTGGGTTGTGGATGTACAAGGCAAGAGTCCTACCCACAGTACTGTCTCTCTGGCCCCATAAAGTAAATATTAGTAAAAATTTTTTGTTTTGTTTTTGTTTTTTGAGCCATGTGGTGATGCTCAGGGATTACCCCTGGTTCTATTCTTAGGGATCACTCCCGGTGGGCTCAGGGGACCATATGAGATCAAACCCAGGTTGGCTGCATGCAAGGCAAATGCCCACCTGCTGTACTATTGCTCCAACTGTTTCTTTCTTCAGTATAGTGCATCATTCATTTATTCTAGTTTTCTTAAAAATGCTAACAGAGAGAATGGCACGTGGGTAAGGCACTTGTCTTAACTGAGCATCACAGGAGTGATCCCTCAGCAAAGAACCAGGTATAAACCCTGAACATCACTGGGTGTGGCTCCAAAAACAAAAGAAAATGTATAAATACCTGCTTATCTCTAGATGATCATGAATTCAACCACTAACAACATAAGTGGAGCTTGATATAATGGGGAGCTACTTTTAAAAGTGACAAAAGAGAGCATCTGTAATAAAATAACCTAAAAGTGACATAGAATCAGTTTCCTGTTTTCTTGAATGTGACATTTAATGCACAGGCAAGAATTGGACAAAAGAAAAGATGTGCATCAAAGGAGACAATAGAAGGTAAAAAGATATCCCTCAAAATAAAAGAGAAGGAATAGCTACAGATTTTGTATCTTGATAACCATGTGTATGATTTATCCAAAATATATCCAGAACTACAACTGAGTACCGTAAAGAAAGACTTACAACTCAATACTAAAACAATTCCATTTTTTAAAAAATGAGCAACAGAGTTGAATAGACATATCTTTGAGGAAACTATAGTATCAGTAAGTACATGAAAAGATGTTCAACATCACTGGTCATTAGGAAAATAATGAATCAGTTATTAATATAAATGAGTTACCATCTTACTGTCATAAGGATGATTATTATCCAATAACCTGCGTGTTAGAAAGGATGTGGGGAAACAAATTCTTGTGTAGTATTTGTTGGATTGTAAAATGATTTAGGTTATGGAAAACAGAATGTTGGTTCATTGAAGAATTAAGACTAGAATCAGGTGACTCTTCTTAGAGGTTAATATATATAGCAAAAAGAAAAGCACAGTTTTAGAAATGCATTTATTTTTCTGTATCATCTTGTTGGGTCCTTGAAAAGGCATTTGTGTATTCAGGTTTATATCATTATTTATAATTGCTAAAAGGGAAAAACAATTGACTTCAAAAGTCTGGTGAGTGTATACTTTCTCTTTGGAGACCCAGTTTTGATCCCTAATGTTGTATGGTGAGTGTGAACTCCCTGCTACTATCAAGCACCCTAGGAATGACTCCTTAGACTACCAGGTGTGGTCCAAAAACACCCAAAGTATTTATCAACAGATGACTACCTAAACAAATTATAGTATGACTATAGTGGAATATTACTCAACTTTGAAGTGGTATGAAACTACTGACTTATGCTGTAGTATGGAAGAACCTTGAAACAATGTGCCTGATATAGAAGAACAAATAGTTAGGTTTCCATTTACGAGGCATCTTAGACATATTCTTAAAAATCAGAGATAGACTAGAGATTTAAATGAGAGCTCTTTAACTGGTCCAGTGGTTCTGCTGGGATGAGTTCTAGATATGGACTGCTGATATATATTTATCACAGGGTTTTTTTTTTTTATGTTTCTTGTCAGGGACACATTGAGCTGTACTGGGTGGGGAAAATACGCTGGGTGGGGGATTACTTGAATATGATTCCCACATATGTGCAAAGCAGGCACTAGACCTTTGAGCCATCTCCCTGACCTCTTTATCACATTTTTTTTAAATGTGTTGGAATTTTGACTTCTTTTGAAATTCAAAACTTCCAATAGTTCTGAAAAAAACACTAAGAAATGAAGAAGTGGGACTGGAGAGAATAGTACAAGTTGTAAGGTACTTGTCTTGCTTACAACTATAGTAGCCATAACCCTGGTTGAAATTCAGGGTGCCGCCTGTGTTCCCCTGTCACCACCAGGGGTCACTCCTGGGCACAGAGTCAGCCCTGAGCACCTCTCTGGTTGTGGCCCAGAAACAAACAAACAAACAAAAAAAAATGAAATGTGCTCAACAGACTGCTTTAGGTGTTGCAGGTTGGGTTTGATCACTGGTATTGTAAAGTCCCCAGAGCACTAATAATGGTTTTGACCCCAAAACCAGCAACAAAAAATTAAGTATTTTATGTCAGTTTTATTCCTGCTGATCCTTGTAGACATTTGTGATCCCTGGAGCAAATAAATTTGGGATCTACTATTAACCATTGAAATGTTGCTGAGAAAAAGAAGGTAGTTGTATTTAAGGGAGCAACTTCTTTTAGAGTAGGTTAAGTGTAAACTAATTGTGCTTAATGCTTAAAAGGAATTGGTTCATCTGTTACGTACTTTATTCATGTTTTGTTCCCTTGTATGAGAGCCTACAGAAATTGGATAAGTGCTTGAGAATTTTCTGTATCTTTCAGTTACACACTAATGATTAATAGCATTAACTTTCAGTTTTCCTGTTACTGGATGGGAGTGATCTGAGGGGTGGGGAGAGGCCAGGGCAAACATGCTGCAGTGCTCAGGTTTTTCTCCTGGTTCTGCACACTCAGGGATCACTCTTGGTCATGCTCAAGGGACCATATGGAGTATCTGGGATCAATTTCAGGTTGACTGTGTGCAGGGCGAACACCCAGCCGTTTGTACTTACACTCAAGTTTGAGAATGATCTTTAGTAATACTGACTTTTGTACATGTGTTTATAGGTTCAGGCTTTAACCAGTGTTTTTTCAGATTTTTTAAGTAAGGAAATTCTCTTAACATCTTGAACACTTAAAGGTAAAGGTATTCTCCCTCCTGTTACATATTCTTAGAGGAAGATATTTTATAACATTTATGATATTTTATGACATTTGTTGTCCAGTGTGAAAATTGCTAGCTACATGTCCCTATTTAATTTTACTAAAATTAGAGGAAATTTAAAATTAAGTTGCACGATCATACTAATTATATTTCCAAACACTCAGTAACCATTTGTCTGAGTTGTTGCCATATTAAATAAGTGCTGGTAGTGTTTCCATCATTGCAGTAAGTTCTTTTGAATAGTACTGCTTAAGAATATGAATTTGAATCAGAATACATGTGTTAATTTTGTTACACTGGTAACCTTAAGCAAGTCACTTCATTTGTACTCTCTAAAATGTGTCTATTATTAGTGCCATGGTATTATGCTGATTATATATAGAGTGAGTATTTAAAAAATACTAGCTAGTTTATGATGCTATTAAACCTCATAACGAGAACCCCTTTGTAATTTTTAGGAACCTATTACTCAGAAACACAACATTGTACACCAACAGGTGGGGCCAGAGCAATATAGTACGGTGGGTAGGACATTTAACATTGCACCTGTCCAATCCAAAGTTGATCCCAGGCAACACATTTGGTCCCCAAGCTCTGCAAACAGTGATCCCTGAGCACAGAGTAGGAGTAAACCCTGACCACCACTGGGTATGGCCAAAAACACCCAAATATGCCTCCAGTTTACTTAATATTAAAATTGTGACATTTTATACTGTTCAATTTTTGACTTAAATTCTTTGTTTTCTGTGTAGAGAGTGGAAGAATTTCTCAGCAAAGATATTAGTTATCTTATTTCAAATAAAAAGGAAGCTAAATTTGCACAAACCTTGGGTCGAATTTCTCCTGTACCGAGTCCAGAATCTGCATATACTGCAGAAACTACTTCACCTCATCCTAGCCATGATGGAAGCTCAGTCAAGCCTCCAGATTCAGTAAGTATGATTTGAAATGGTTTTTCAGGGTTGGCTAGCATCAGAATTCAGTTGGTTAGGACAGTGTGTACCTTATATGTAGTTTCACTCATAAAGATTGTTATGTAAAAGTGATTTTTCTGCTGGTAATATTTGTGAAATAAAGGAATTGCTTTAATTGCTTTCAGGAATTACTTAAATACATTCTGTGTTTAGGAAAGACTGTTCTTTTTCCCTTCAATTTTTGTGCTATACCTAGCAGTGCTCAGGGGTAACTCTTCAACTCTGGGAAGATTCTGGGGATTGAACTGGAATCTGCATCCGGGGTCTGCCGCATACAAGGGAAGCACCTTAACCCCTTTACTATTTCTCAAGCCCAGCAGGTCAGGTCAATGTTTTATCTGATTTATTTATTTTGGTTAATTTTGGGAGCTACACCCAGATATGCTCAGGACTTTCTCTGGCTCTAAGCTCAAGGATCCCTCCTGGGACTTGGGACCATATCGAGTGCTAGGGATCTAACCCAGGTCTACATTGTATCTTATCTGCTGTATTGTCTCTGGCCCCAAAGTCAGTGTTTGTTTTAAAGAATAATTGAAAACCTTTTGTTGATTGTTTCAGAACATAAGATTAGATAAATTACACACAAGTGCCAAATACATCTGGACACCTATTATGTTGGTACATCTTCAGGCTGAGCATGGTTTTTTGCTTTTCTAAGTATTAGGAGAAAAGACACTTTTCTCACAAGTGAAAAATGTGTGAAATCACATTTTATTGCCCATTTAAAAAAAGACAATACCATATTCTTTTACATATTGATTGCTTTATCTCAGGCTGTAAAAGCAGAAGTTATAGTTGCAATAATGATGACTCTCTGACATGCAGAATATAAAATACAGTATCTAACCCTTAACAGAAATTGTTTGCTGACTCCTATCTGGAATTACATTATATTCCTACCACTCAGCTACTATAGGAAAATACAGTGAAGAAAAAAATAAGTATAGATAGGGGAAGGGATCATGAAATAAATTGTATTTTCTTCATTTTTAGATTAAAATTTAATAATTGAATTATTTTAAGAATCTTTCTGAACTTTGTTATTGCAATCATTTTGGAAGTGGAAACAATAGGGTTAGGTAAAACAAAAATAGGTAGACAAAAAGTTATTCCTTGAAAAAAGAAACAAACACATATTCATCCTTTTACTTAAAGCATTTTTCAAACAAGATTAAATGCCAATGACAATTGCAAATTATTGCACAGAGAATTTTGACTGCTTTTTCTAGAGTTGTTTTTTTAAAATGAGATAACTAGGAAGAAAGAGTTTATAGAAAATCTGGGGCTAGAGCTATAGCACAGCCGGTAGGGCGTTTGCCTTGCACACGGCCAACATGGCTGACCCGAGTTCGATTCCTCCGCCCCTCTCAGAGAGTCCGGCAAGCTACTGAGAGTATCTCGCCCGCACGGCAGAGCCTGGCAAGCTGCCCGTGACGTATTCAATATGCCAAATACAGTAACAACAAAGTCTCACACTGGAGATGTTAGTGGGCCCGCTCAAGAAAATCGATGAACAACAGGACAGTGACAGTGATAGGAAATCTGACTTTATATTTAAAAATCTCAGTTCAATAGGAATCTAAAATACAAACTTAAGATTTTTAAACAAATTTCAGAGGAACATAGTTTTCATTTTTAATGTTGCCTAGAATTTACCAGAATTATGACCTTGAGAACCAATAAAGATAGTTAACAGGCTGAGCACATGTTTGTGGGAGACACACGTTCAGTCTCCAGCATTGTATATGGTTGTTGTCATCTTCCTCCATTTGTCCATTTCACCCCATGTACAGGGAAGTTGCCCACGAGCAGAATCTGGTGTGGCACAGGAGAGCAGCAACATAAAAACATGACCTTTAATCTCATTCAGTTTAGTAGTTCCATGTAAAAAAAATGCTTTAGAAAAATTACATTTTAAATGCTGTTTTGTGTTAATCAGCCAGTAGTTCTTAACCTGTGAGGTGCTATGTAATACTTTTCACTTATCTTGCTGTTTTTTGTTAATCAGCCAGTAGTTCTTAACCTGTGAGGTGCTATGTAGTAACTTTTCTCTTATCTTTTTATAGATGTGTTTGAGCAGAGGAAAATTACTAGTTGAAAAAGCTATCAAGGACCATGTAAGTAGAAACTTAAATTCAGTGGGTATATTCTGGCATTTAAAACTTTGAGTGTTGAATAGATATACTTGAAGGCCTCACATTTTTAATAAGAAAACATTAAATATCTGCCTATACTGTGTTTGAATTAACAGAACCTACTTTTCATGAAGAAATGTCTCCATCTTGTGGCCTTTGAAAATATTGCTATAGATTCCTGAAAGGTCATTTTTTTGTATGTTTAAATGATGTCTTAAAACTAGTAATTCAGTATATATTAAAATTGTCAAGAATTATGGAACTAGATTTGTGATGTTATAAATCTTTTAAAGAACTGGTTTCATTCGGAATCTGTTCTGAATAATCAGTTCAGTAATAGTAAGTTTTCTATTTATGTAAAATAGTGTTTTTCTAACAAAAGTATTCAACCTTTTTTTTTAATAGGATTTAATTCCTTCAAATAGTATATTATCAAATGCCTTATCATGGGGAGTAAAAATACTTCATACTGATGGTAAGAATATTAAAATTGTTTTCTGACAGTATTATAAAAGTAACAGTTTCTATTTCCTGTGTTCCTCCTTTTATGTAGAATTCTTATAGAGATGTTTGTAAAAGATAATTCAAAAGTTAGAACAATTAAAGAAAATAATATTTAACTGCAAAGGTGAAACTATTGATATTATACTTTTCTTTTAATAGACATTAGATACTACATTGAGCAGAAGAAAAAAGAATTGTACTTACTCAAAAAATCAAGCACTTCTGTTAGAGATGTGGTATGTTATTTTCATTAATTTTTACAGTAATAAGAATGATCAAGCTTTGTTTATTATGTAAATAAATTGACAGAATATTTTAATAGCTCACCTTTGTAAATGTATGTGTGTTTTTATCATTTGTATACATTGTTTATCATGTCTTAGAATTTACTTATGAAGTGAAAATTTTTTCTTGGATAGTTGCATTTTTGCTGCAGTATAATTTGCTGCTTTTCGTTATAAGGAAAATAGTGCAATGTCTTAAATGTCTGAAAATATCATAAATAATAGAGCTTTTAGAACATAGGAACATATATTTCAACAAGTTTACATAGTCTTTAAAGACTACCGTTTGCATTTTTATAGAAACTGCATTGAACTTTTGTAGTGCTTTGGGAGGGTTGTCATTTTGACAATATTATTGCTTATAAAAATATAATGCCCAAACGAAATGCATCTGGACTGTGCACTTAACTATGGCGCTATGCTGCCCTGGGAGGGGAAGGGTGTCTGTCCTTCCGTCTGTCCCCCCTTGCGGCAGCAGCATGGTGGGGTGCATCATTTAGAGCCTAATGAACAGCCAGGTATGAGACTGCATTGATGTGGCACGTGGGGCCACATGGGATGGGGCTGGAATCGGCCCTGCTCCCTGCCATGACAATGATCCAGGTTGCCACCCTCAAACTCCTCCTCCAGCTTCTGAACGATCATGATCCCAGAGGCACACATATCAATCTCAGAACCCAGGGGCTTCTGGCAACAATCCCTCTAGGCTTATTACTAAAATATCAGAAATCCAAATTGACATGGCCACTATTGTGGCCACATGAAATCATATGCTCTTCATAATCAACAGTAGAAAACAAATTATCTAATGATGTCTTTGTGGCAGGTCTGAATGTTGAGGAAAATTCCAAATAACAATGTTGGGATTCTGCCACGTGGCGGGGTGGAGGGGGGGTGGAAAATGTGCACTGGTGAAGGGACGGGTGTTTGATGATTGACCGACTGAGACTTGAACTGAAAGGCTTTGTAACTGTCCCATGGTGATTCAGTGAATATATATATATATATATTGCTTCTAATCCATGAACAGAGACTGTGTTTCTGTTGTCTTTTTGTTTTTTTAGCAGTGATTTAGTTTTCTTTGTGTCAGTCTTTACTTTTATTAGACTCAATCATCGGAACTTGATTTTTTTTTTTTTGAGATGTCTTTATTCTCATTTATTTCCAGGAATCTTTTCATTTCTCTGATTTCCACTTTGACCCACTAGCTGTTCCATTGTAATGAGTTATTTCTTCCCTTTTGGGGGTGGGGGGATGGATTTTGGACCTACACCTAGTAGTGCTCAGGGCCTGTTCATGGCTTTGTACGCAGGAACCACTCCTTATGCTGCTTGCGGTCTATCTGGGGTGCTGGGGATCAAACCTGCCCACAGTACTCTATCTGTCCACTGGAGTTTTCCTTTTTTGTCTGCTTTGGTATCAGGGTGATGTTGCCTCATAGAAACTGGGAGAGTTCCTATTCAACTTTCTCTTAAGAGGCTGACAAGGATTGGGATTAGATTTCAAATATATACATATATATATATATATATATACACATTTTCAATTGTTCGTTTGTTTTTCTGGACATACCTGGGTGTACTCAGGATTTACTCCTGGCAGGGTTGGGGTACCATATCGGTGCCATGGATTGAACCCACGTCATGTGCCTTAGCTGCTGTGCTCCAGACCTTTTAAAGGTTTGGAAGAACTCTGGTAAACCCATTTGGTCCTGGGCTTTTGTATTTTTTGGAGATACTTTTGACTACCATTTTGATTTCTTTGATAATCATCTGTCATCGTTCCATCTTCTAGGTTCTCAATTTTCTTTAATTACATAAAGATTTTCATAGTATTCTACGATCCTTTAAATTTCTCTGGTATCTGTTGTGATAGGGCTGGAGCGATAGCACAGTGGGTAGCGCGTTTGCCTTACATGCAGCCAACATGGCCGACCCGAGTTGGATTCCTCCGCCCCTCTCGGAGAGCCCGGCAAGCTACCGAGAGTATCTCACCCGCACGGCAGAGCCTGGCAAGCTCCCCGTGATGTATTCGATATGGCAAATAACAAGTAACAAGTCTCACAGTGTTACTGGGCTCGCTCAAGCAAATCGATGAACAACGGAAGGACCGTACCGTAATCTGTTGTGATGCCTCCCTTTTCATTTCTGAATCTGTTTATTACGATCTTTTTTGTGAGTCTAGCTAATGGTTTGTCAACCTTGATTATTTTTCAAAAAAAAGAAAAACAGCTGTGGGTTTCATTCTTTTGCACTTTTTTTGTTTTAGTTTACATTTTTTATTTCTGCTCTATTTTATCATTCTGATTGATTTGGGTTCCCTTTGTTATCTTTTTCTAGCATCTTAAATTGTGCTGTTAGACTCTTTGGGTCTTTCTTGCTTCCTCTTATTTTTACTGCTGTGAGTTTCTCTCTTACTACTACTTTGGTTCTGTCCCATATGTTTTAGGTAATTCATGCCTTCATTCCTATTTATTCCCAGAAATTTTTTGATTTCTCTGATTTTGTATTTGACCCTCTTTGTTCAGTTGTAATGAGTTGTTTAATTTCAAAGTACTGGTGAGTCATTTCCTGTATGACTAATTTCTCTTTTAAAGGCATGGTTACCTGAGAGAATGGTTGATATGATTTCTATCTTCTTGATTTTATAGAGATATGTTTTATGACCTAGTTTGTGGTCATGTTTAGAGAATGTCCCCTCAATTTGGGGGGGATTAAGGGTCTTACATATGCCTTCTAGGCCTATCTCTTCCAAAGCCAGTGTTTCCTTGTTGAGATTTTGCCTAATTGAACTACCCAGCAATGATAGGGGAGCATTAATGTCTTCGATTACTGTCATTTTCCTTTGGTTGGTCTCCATCTCTAAAATGGTTTTTAGTAGACAGTGAAAGGTAATCTGACAACCTATATTTTATGTCTGTTTCACTCTTAATATAATGATACTACTGAATTTTGGCTTGCTGGTATAATGATGGTTTTTCTTGATGTTCTCTATTTAGTTCCTGTTTCTCTCTTTTCTACCTTTAAGATTTTTGAAGTTTCACCTGTTGGCTTTTGTGTATGTGTCTTTGTCTTTGTTTTGCTGGTTGCTTTGGGATTTAAAATATACACATGTATATCTTTTCACAGTCTATTTAAAATAAATGTTCTAGCCATCTCAAACTGTAGAAACCATAAAACTTTGCATCCTTTTTTATTTTCCCCCTGTTTGTTGCTATCAGCTTTAGCAGTTTGTCATCCCAGTTTAGGTAGATGGCAATTGTAATCTTTTTAGTTTCCAAATGCAATTTCCATTGTGTTCTGGGGTGGGTTTGTGTGTGTGTGTGGGGGGGGGGGCGGGGACTTTTTTGTTTGTTTGGGGGCCACACCCAGCAATGCTTCCGTCTCTGCACTCAAGAATCACTCCTGACCGTGCTCAAGTAAACCCATATGGGATGTCAGTGATTGAACCCCTGGTCTGCCAGCTGCCTGCAAGTCATGTGCCCTACCTGTTGTACTATATCTTTTGCCCTCCTGTGGGTTCTGTACATGCATCATTTATAGCTTAGTCCAAGACTTGGGCACTTGTTTAAATCTCAGCTCTGTTTTCACTACCTTGCATCAGGTTTTTTCTTAGAATATGCAGCTTAAAGTTCAAACAAAGGGTTATACCTGACACTTTTCTAGATTATGTGGTAAAATTACCTACTTTTCCAGGTCATCTCTGAGACTTGTCACACTGGCTCTTTCAAGAGTCTCCCTAATTGGAATTTCCTCATTTCGGCTTCTGGGTACCTTTGCAATTGCAGTTCTGTTGTTGGGCAAAACTGGGGAGATAGGGGAAGAAATAAGAAATAATAAAGGGTCTTACTTAGTCCTTTTTAAAATCCCAGGAACCTCTTTTTTTCCAGTAAGATACAGGCTGTGTAGAAATTGTAGTGATGGGGTCTTCAACTTTAACTTTGTGATAAGAGTGTTATTCTTAAGAAAACTTGAAAAGATTGAGGGCTAGTGTAGAGTGTAGTGAATAGGCGCTTGGCCTGAACGTGGCTGACTTGGGTTCAATCCCTGAGCATCATTGAATGTGTCCCAAAAACAAGAGAAGAGAGGGAGAAAGGAGATGTGAGGAATGGAAAGCTTACTCATCAACCTTACTTTTACACAGACAGGTAACCTGTTGAGATCTTTTTACTTTATTCCACAATAGATCTATTATTGACCAAGCTTTGAACTAAGAACTTGGAGGTTGCTCTTTTTTTTCCAGTCTTCATTAATCAGTGGGATTTGTCATCTTGGATATATTTCATCTTGATTAGAATTGACCAGCATCACTGTATCACTGTCATCCCGTTGTTCTTAGATTTGCTCCAGTGGGTGTTAGTAACATCTCCATTTGTCCCAGCCCTGAGATTTTAGCAGGGTCTCCTTAGTCCTTCCCAAGGGAACCATATTGGAGGCTGTTTCAGGGTCAGGGTAATGAGACCGGTTATTGTTACTGTTTTTGGCATATCGAATACACCACAGGGAGCTTGTCAGGCTCTGCCATGCGGGCGGGATACTCTTGGTAGCTTGCCAGTAGAATTGACTGAATCACTGTCATCCCGTTGATTGTCAGATTACTCGAGCGGGCGCCAGTAACGTCTCTTCCTCCCAGCCTGGGATTTTAGCAGCCTCTTCTTACTTGTCTTTTCCCAACGACTTGGGCCTTTTTCAGTGTTAAGGGAATGACACCTGTTGTCGTTACTGTATTCTGCATATCGAATACTCCACAAGGAGCTTGCCAGGTTCTGCCTGTGTGGACTGGATACTCTCGGTAGCTTTCTGGGTTCTCCGAGAGGTATATATTTATATTTTTTTCTCTATGATTTATTGCCTACTGTCTGAACCCCATCAGATATGGTGTAATAATTGTGGAAAAATGGGTAGGAAGTATCTTATAATGTGTCAGGAAAGCAGCCTGAAGCGTGGCGGTGGTTGGGTAGTGGAGAGCGGCTGCCGGGGCTAGATCCCTTGCTGTGGGGAGGGCTCTCACTTACCCCACATTCTGGCATGGAGTCTGGCGGCATGGTTCTGGAAGCCTCGTTTTATACTCCCATCTGGGAGGAGCATCCATGAGTTTTGGAGGGTGGCCTGTGAGATTATCTGGTGCCTGCAGGGTGTGGTTCATGGGTGTGATCCCTGAGTCATGGAGATTGGGGGAAGCAGGCAGAGCGTCTCTGTTCCTGGATCTCCTGAGTCCAGAGTCCAACTTCACAAAGTTCTGCATTATCTGTGTTCCTTTGGAATTTCATTCATGGAAAGTGGCCTGGAGTGTGGCAGTGGTTGGACTCCGCTCCAGGCTGTTAGGTGGGTGAGAGCCCTCCCCACCTCAAGGGACCCGGCCTCTGCAGAATTGACTAGTAGATTATAATAATTTTTTTACTATTTGTTTTATTTATCATGGAAGTTTTGCTGAGTAAAAGCTTAAAAATAATATGACTGTAGACTACTTATTCAGTTGTACCTTTTCTGTATTGACTTCTTTCTGCGAAGATAGAAAAAAAGCTGGAATGGAAGGTATCTATTGGGTGTATTATTTTGAATTCTATACTAATGGTGGTATTGATTTTTAAAAAATGAGGTACTGGTCTTTTTTTTTTTTTTTTAATAATAGGGCTACTGCAGGCAGTGCCCTGGCATCCATGTAGTTGAAGATCATATTCAGGCTTCTCACATGCTAGGCATGTTCTACCATTTGAGCTATACATCCCCAGACCAATAGGTGTTTAGTCCTTGATGATTGCTATCTTTAATTTCTTCAGTGAGTTGATAATTAAAAGCAAGGTTTTTCCCTTTCATCCTTCCAAAAATGATACTTTTTTTAAAAGTGTATGTTCCATATGTGACTTCTATATCTTTCAGATATAGAGTACTTGTAGTTGTTGTTTTCATTGTGTAAATAACCAGTATTTTCACTTTATTTTCATTTTCTATTTTCTTTTCTAGGGGAAAAGAATAAGTATTGGCACACAGAAAGCAAGAAGTAAGTATTTTGATACCTTTAAATGTATTCGGTTTAGAGGCTGGAGCAATAGCACAGTGGGTAGGGCGTTTGCCTTGCATGCGGCCGACCCGGGTTTGATTCCCAACATTCCATATGGTCTCCTGAGCACCGCCAGGAGTAATTCCTGAGAGTGCAGAGCCAGGAGTAAGCCCTGTGCATTGCCGGGTGTGACCCAAAAAGCAAATATATAAATAAATAAATAAATGTATTCGGTTTACTGTTAGAAAAACATAATAGAATTTAGAAAAATCTAAATTCTAAAAGCTCATGTAAACAGTGCTTTAAATAACTAAATCAGTAACTTTGCTGTTTAGAAGAACATGGATGCTTATGGGCAGTCTGAAACCTCTGGACCGCTTAGAATAAAGTTTTTTTTAAAGCATTTTTAAAAATTACTAGATAACTGGGGCTGGAATGATAGCACAGTGGGTAGGGCATTTGCCTTGCAAGTGGCCGACCCGGGTTCGATTCCCAGCATCCCATATGGTTCTCCGAGCACTGCCAGGAGTAATTCCTGAGTGAAGAGCCAAGAGTAACACCTGTGCATCACTGGGTCTGGCAAAAAAAAAATCATTAGAGAACAAAAGCAGTTTTATTTAAATTTAGTTCTTAGAAATTCAATCAGGGCCTCACCAGGAAGTAGTTGGGGTTTTATAGGGAGTTTGGGAATTCAGCTCAGGGCTTTCTTTGCATGCTCTCAGCCTCTTTTAGCTCTCCCTGGCCCCAGAATGTTTTTAATTATGAAATAGTGATCTCCTTGCTTTGGTAACACATTAAAACAAATTCTAATAGTTCAAATAGTTCAAATTGCTACTCTGATTTGAAGTGATAAATGTACATGATGTTTTCAAATAATTTCAATAACTAATACATAAAAATGTTCTCACTGGTGATGACATCACATGTACTGGTAATACTGCTCTGTGATCTTATGTTTTCAGTGTCATTGTATGGTTAGATTTTATTAATGAACATACTATGTAAATGTGAAAAGAATGTTTATTTTGGTGGGGCTTTTGGTGTTTGCCAGAGAAGGTTTTTTGGTTTTTTAAACAGTTAACTGGAATTTGTAACCTTCTAATACCATGTTTTATATGATCTCAAGCAGGTAGACTGAAAAAACCTTTTGTAAAGGTGGAAGATGTGAGCCAGTAAGTATATAACTTCAACTTGGGTGACTTAGAAAGTCTTGTTGGAAATATATACTCCCTTTATACTTGCATTAATACTTCTCTATTATTACTATTAGGTTTTATGTATATATATATTTTTTCTAATCAAGTTTTAAGAATTTGTTGATTGCGATTTTATTACATGAATGCGCAATAATTTATTAATCATTGTATAACATTGGGCTTGAGCGATAGCACAGCAGGTAGGGCGTTTGCCTTGCATGCAGCCGATTCGAGTTTGATTCCTCCTTCCCTCTGAGAAAGCCTGGCAAGCTACCCATGACATTCAGTATGCCAAAAACAGTAACAAGAAGTCTCCCGATTTGTGTGAGATGTTACTGGTGCCCACTCGAGCAAATTGATGAACAACAGGGGGACAATGCTACCAGATTAATTTGGCCTGGGAGAATAGATTACTTTCTCTTGACTTTCCAGTCATTTATATTGGTTTTTGGACCACATGCGGTGGTGTTTAGGAGTCACTTCTGGAGGTAGTCAGGGAACCTTGCAGTACCAGGAATCAAAACCAAATCTCCTTATTTGCAAAGATTGCCCACAACCATTTAAGCTACTCTCAGCCCTACAGTTACTCATTTAGACATGTGTGATTAACTCTGGGTATTGACTGAAGTTATAAAAATGTTTTGACTACTATTTGTAATATTAACTGTGTTGTTGTGTTGGTTAGAAATTTAATTCAAAATAAGGCCTAAAGATCCCATCTTAATGGATTGAAAGAATGTGATTTAAGATATCATTGCTTCCTAATTTTAAAACTTACTATAAAGCTACAGTAATCTAAACACTTTAGGTACTGAGATAAAGCAGATGTTCAGAGTAGTGGAATAGGCATTCACAATATTTTGTAAGAGATGTTCTGGAAAAGAATTTTTACTTGTATGATCAAATTTTATTTGACAAGGATGACAATTTCTTCATTCAATGGCAAAGGCATGCTTTTTTTTTTAATAAATGGTATTGGGAAAACTTTATACATAGCAAAAGAATGAAGCTAGACCCTTATTGCTAATATCATAAAATCTTGTAAGGAACTTAGAAAAGATTTATGGCATTGCATTTGACATTGATTTCTTAGCTATGACAACAAAAAATAGAGAGTAGACTATCAATTTATCATTTCTGTTATCGAGGACATGAAAATGTGAAATTCTACAGAAACAAGTTATTTGCAAGTCACATACCTAGTAAAGAACTCAATAGGAAATTACTGACCTGATTAAAAAATGAGCAGAAGACTTATATAGACATTTATCTAGATAATACAGAATGCCAAGTAGCGTATGAAAATATATTTGACATCATTAACCATAGAGAAATGCAAACCAAAGCCAAATTACCACTTCACACCTTTTAGGATAGGTCTAACTCAAAATAGCCAAGGGTCAGAGGTACCCCCAGATATATAGTAACATGTTTAATGACACAGAACAGAATATTAGAAAAGAAATTAAATTCTTGTGCTTTAAGGTTGAAGGTTGAAATTTTTGAGATTGAGGTTGAAGTTACATTCTTACTTGTGCTTTATAGATGAGCTTTGAGGACCATTATACTAAGTGAAATAAGAAATTACTGCATGTTTTCCCTTAAGTACCTAGAGCAGTCAGTTTCATAGAGACAAACTAGAACAGTGACTGTAAGGAGCTAATGGGATAGGGAGAATAGTGAGTTAATGTTTAATTAGTATTCACGTTAGCAGGTTGAAAAGTCTTGTAGAGATGAATGGTGTTAATGCTTTAAAAATATTATAAATATGCTTATCTGAAACAAAATGGTAAAAATAATAAATTTTATGTGTATATTTTTAAAATGTTTTAAAAATGGATTTACAAATTGATTTCTGTTGTCTAAGATTCCAGATGAATTACATGATTTTCAAGTATATTTCTTTCATCATAACTGTCTCATGCATTTTTTTCACTCTTTTTAGACTTTACAGACCATTTTATCTTCAGCTGGCCAATGTGCCTATTATAAATTACTCTATTCAGAAGCCCGCCAGTCCATTTGATGTAGATAAGCCATCTAGTTCCCAAAAGCAAACTCAGGTTAAACTAAGGTTGGTTTAATCTCAAGTGATTTTTTTTATCCTCTTAAATGTTCTTTTTTTTTCTTTACGTTATTTAATGACTTGCCTGGGGTGTGTGTTTCTAAACAGCATTATGGTTCTCCCTCACAATTGGTGATCTGGAGGCTTGGAAGGCACTTCAGACAATAATTAACCACTTGGACCAGCTATTCAATACTAGGGCCTTAGGATATTGTTCTGCTCAAACTATGGTAATGGGGACTATCCAGGCCACCTTGGTGGTATAGGGGATTCCCCATGGTATATCCAGTGGTGCTTAGGAGACTTAATGTGCTGGGGATCAGCTTCACACAAAGTCTGTCTGAAAATTATGTGCCTTAACCCACCTATACTTTCTTGCCAGCTCTATATATCTTTGTAACCCCTTTGCTAGAGTTAAGTCTTGAAACTATCTTATCACATTTAGACACTCAGTCAATGGGGCTTAAAAATATTTACAAATAAAATGTGTTATTTTAACTACAGTGGGTAGGGTATTTGCCTAGCACATGGCCAGCTTAGGCACCTAGGTTTATCCCTGGCATCTCTTAAGGTCCCCCGCCCACCAGGAGCAATTCTTCCGAATTCAGAGCCAGTTGTAAGCCCTGAGCACTGCCAGTGTAGTGCCCCCCCCATCCCGTCAAAAAAAGCAATGATGATTCTTATACCTTTCAGTATGCATTCTGAATCAGAAAATTATAACATTATAGTGTTTAATATTTTTGTGTTTCTTCTGTCTGCTACCTTTAAAAATTAAAAAAGTGGCTGGAGCGATAGCACAGTGGTAGGGCTCTTGCCTTGCGCACAGCCAGCCCGGCTGAGTTGGTTCGATTCCTCCGCCCCTCTCGGAGAGCTCGCCAAGCTACTGAGAGTATCTGGCCCACACGGCAAAGCCTGGCAAGCTACCCATGACATATTTGATATTCCAAACACAGTAACAACAAGTCTCATGATGGAGATGTTATTGGGCCCTCTAGAGCAAATCGATGAACAACGGGAGGACAGTGATACAGTGCTACCTTTATACAAATTATATCAAATTGCTTAATGGTTAAAGGCTAATTTTTAAAATTATTGTGTATGATTTGCTATTAATTCTTTTCCTACATATTTCTATCAGAATCCAAGCAGATGCTGAAAAATGCAGTGGAATCCCGGTTCAGCTTCAACTGAAAGAGAAGAAGAAAAAAGGATACTGTGAATGTTGCTTACAGAAATATGAAGATCTTGAAACTGTAAATGTGATTGTTTATTTGGGGGGCTAGATATTTCTAAAACTAAATATGTGCTATTTAAATTTTAATTGGTGGTTTACAAATTGATAATTATTAAGTACTGTAGTTCTGTTTGATAGCCCCTTCGCTTTTAAGAAGCCCAAGTGGGCTGAAGTGATAGTACTGGGGTTAAAGCACTTTGTATGTGGCCAACCTCTATTTGATCCCCTGAGCACAGAGCCAGGAGTTAGCTCCGAAGCATTGCAAGATTATCCATCCCCAAAATAAAGATCCCAAATATGAACCAATGTATTATTAGAAAGCAATTTGTATTAATTTATTTAGCAGTAGTGACCATCTGTTCTGTATTAGTCAGTCCTTTCAGTGAACAGCATGGAGATCTCTCCTGAAGATTACATTTTATGGAGGGGGGAGAAGAAAGGTAACCTTTTATATTAGTTTGTTATCCTAATTTAATGCTCAGTAAATATGGGGGCAAGAAAACAAAATCTGACCTTTGATGACCACCTGACTAATGTAGAAAGGAAGGAAAATTGGTGTAGTTGTTAGGATTACTGCTTTTGTTTTTGAGCCACACCTGGCTCTGTGCTTGTACTTGTGAGTTGCTCCTGGCTGTGCTCAGGGGGACCATACAGTATCAGGAATTGAACCTGGTTCTATCATATGCAAGGCCAACTTTTTGTACCTAGTTTTTAAATGTAGAGAAAATGCTTGCTTTATGACTCTTAGATTTCATAATCTAAGTTCAGTTTCATCCAATCAAGGCATTTGTTTAACAAATTTTGTTACCGGTGATTAAACAGTAGGGCAAATAAATTTTTGTCACTAAACCTGTGATAGGGAAAATAGATCTAAGACCTTTATTAGAAACAGGTTGAAAAATAGATCTAAGACATTAGAAATGGAGTGTCACAAAAATAATGTGTAAAGTATAATGATAATAATTGTAATTAGTATAGAATAAGGGACACAGAAAGTTCAACTGAGTGACATATAAATCAAGACTTAAAAGAAGACTAGATATAGTGGGGAATTGCACTAAAGGTGGGAATTGTTTTCTTAATTTATTTGAATTAATGAATTTTTCTTGTAACATGAATATACAGAATGTGACCTTATAGATGAAGTGTTTCTTTTTACATTTGAATCATTTTCTTTTAACATTTTTGGACATAATATAGTATGTGAGAAAAAAAAAATCTTTCATAATGTGCGGTAGCACTGGAAAATTCTGCTTTTCAGAAATATCAAATAAGGTTACATGAAACTGGGGAAAACGAATGATTTGTCCTTTATCATATTAGGCTTTTAAGATACAACTCCCAGTTGACTCACATATTGGTAAAATAAGCTTGGAGATTTTACTCAAAAAGGACCGAGTTTTATCCTAAGACATGAAAATGTTGGAAAACTTTAAGCAAAAGTGTCTGTTGGTTTTAAAGTAACATTTACATTGTTTGTTTGTTTTAGCATCTTCTCAGTGAGCAGCACAGAAACTTTGCACAGAGTAATAACTATCAAATTGTTGATGATATTGTATCTAAGTTAGTTTTTGACTTTGTGGAATATGAAAGGGACATGCCTAAGAAGAAAAGGTAATTTATCACTCTTAAGTTTGAAAATACTTGAATATTAAATAGAAAAAGTCTAAATTTTTTCTTTCAGAATGTTGTTTTTAGGATGTGAATACATTTAAGAACTGATTTCCTTTCCTCATCCCCTCTTCCCTACTACCAAAAGCTATTTACCTTAACTGATACTTAAGATTCTCTTCTAAATATAACTGGAAGATGAGTTTACACACTTTTTTTTTAAATAAAGAACCAGATAGTGGACGATACGATCTCGGTAACTTCTCGGCTTTGTCATTAATACATTGGAAGCAGCCACAATATATGTAAGCAAATAAGCGTTATGGCTGTATTCCAGTAAATGTATTTAGAATGATAACTAATAATGCTAATTGTTGTATGATAACTCTTCATTGACCAAGTGATTCTAATTATGTTTTTTCTATAAATCTGAAACTTAAAAAGATTTCATATGAATACACTATTGAATTGATAATAACTCAGTAGATTATTCAGTTCCTATATCTTTTTTAATCTTTTTTTTCCTGGTGTTTGGGCCCCTCCCAGTGGTGCTCAGGGCTTAAGCCTGACTCTACACTTACGGTTCACTCTTTTCTGTTCTTTTTCTTTTTTCATTTTTTTTGACTTTGTTTTGAGTCATCATACCTGGAGGTGCTCAGGGGTTACTCCTGGCAGTGCTCAGAGGACCATATGGGATATTGGGAAACAAATCCTGGTAGACAGAGTACAAAGCAAATGCCCTACCCATTGTACTATCTCTCTGGCCTCAGGGATCACTCTTGGTACTCAAGGTACCATATGCCCAGCATCTAACCTGGTTGTCCACGTGAAAGGCCAGCACCCCCTGCAGTACTATTAACTCTGGTACAGGTTTTAGATAGCTTAAAAAATTAACTAGAAACTTTCTTAAAAGCTGCATCTACTCAAGTTCGTGTATATTTCAATACTTGTTTATGACTCAACATTGTAATTGGAGAGGCATACTGCAAATTATTGAAACTATATGTAGTATGTAAACTACTGTAAGACTTTAGAATTGTTTGGAAACACAATCTACGTAAAAATTCTAAACTGGTACTTCCATTTAAGCTGCTTATTCCTCAATTGTGAGCACAAATTTTTATCTCTGTGGGCAAGTCACCTAACAACACTAGTCTTAAAAGAGAATGATGTGGGATCAGTGCTATTTATCTTTCTCATTCTACTTTTTTTTTTCCAAGGGGGATCTTAAGAGGGAACATAGAAAAAAATATGAAAGATAATTTTTCTGGTTTTGAAAGTACTGGAGGAATTCTATGTTTCTGTGTTACCTGACGTATATAATAGCTGCTTATATAGTTTGGATTATCTAGTACAGTCTGGTATTCCAAGGAATCAAGAAACTCCATAAAGAAGGGGGCTTGGGGTCAAATACAATATGAAACTGAAGGACTAATTTAACATCTTTAGAAATGTAAATATAGAAACTGAAGGGCCAATTTGTCATTTCAAGTTTACAGCTTGCTTTGATAATAGGTAATTTATACTTGAATATTTCCAGTCAAGTACTCATCCTTCATCTTGCTAGTAAATGAGACAGAATAATATAAATTAAAAAGATTAAAAAGATGTATTTTATTAGTTTAAGAATATCTAAATTTGACAAAATGTTAAGATTTCTTTTAAATAAATCTAAGATTTTATTTCCTAAGCTAAATAAGTTTCATAAGTAGTTTTAAAAGATTTTTACCAATTTGTGTTTGCTAATAACATTCAGTAATTGCCACAATTATTTTAACTTTAAAAAAATTTTTTCCCTATAAAGAATAAAGTACAGTGCTGGATCTCTTTCTTCCGTTACTGCAAATGTCCTGAAAAAGACTGAACCAAAAGAAAAGCTAGAACTGCAGCATATTTCTCAGAAAGACTTCAGGGAGAATAATGTACAGGTGATCGAACAGAGTTTCTTAAACAAAGAAACCCAGGAACCTGAACAAAAGTTTGTGTTTATTTCAGAGCCCATTCCCTGCCCTGCAAGCGGATTGAGAGGCCTTCATGAGAAAACAACTAATAAACATACTGTGTTAAGTCCAGCTGAAGATGATATAAAGCAAAATCTTACACATCTACCTCAAGATACAAGTAAACAGGAACGTATTCTTGACATTTCTGAGCAATTAATAATAAATGAAAATGACTTTGAAGAACTTAATGTTGATCGCTGTCATTGTACGCTACAAACATCTGTACAAATATCTAATTTCCATACAGACAATAGTGCATCTCAACGGAAACAGAAGTCTGATGCTGTGCTTTATCCAGCAAATGATATGAAGGAGAAAGACCTTCATTCAATATGTGGTCATGATTCTGATTTGTGGACAATAAAGGGTCCACATGAGCACCTAAGAAGTCATGTAAATACTCCGCCCCAGATTCCCGAGGAACTTAATGAATGTGATGTCAAGAATATGGATGGTCTAACTTGTAGTAGAATCCATCGAAAAGTAAAAATATTATTAGGAAGAAATAAAAAAGAAAATCTTGAACCAAATGTGGAATTAGATAAGAACAGAACTGAGTTCATTACACAAGAAAAAAGCATAATTTGTAGTTCTCCAGTACAGTCTCTACTGGATGTATTTCAGACAAGTGAAGAGAAGTCAGAATTCTTGGGTTTCACAAGCTACACTGAAAACAGTGGTGTATGTGATGTTTTAGATATTTGGGAAGAGGAAGATTCAGACAATCTCTTATCAATGTTTTTATCTTCTCCTTCAACGTCTACATTTACAGGCTTTTAGATCTCAAAAATACCTTTTAAATATGTTGATTATATTTTTGGATTTTTTTATAAATGTATAACAAAATTTCCAATTTTGTTTACAGAAATGAACGTAAATAATAAAGGTGGTATTTGCATTTTTCAACAGAATCAAATATCCATTATAGAAAAGTTATAGAACAAACTTGTGACCTATCTTATTTTACATGCCATGTTCATAATTATTTACTAAGAATTATTATGAGTAATAAGTTGGCTTTATGTCACTAAAAATAATTTCAAGTGAAAATTTGAATATAAACATTTAGCATTATTTATACTATTAAGTTTCCACAATGACAGGACTTTTGACATAAATTTCATGAATGACAAGTTTTATACAGAAAAAATAATTTGCATTCTAAAAATTGTTTTCTAGAAATATTGGCACTTGAAGGTGTCCTAATTGGACCATGATAATACATCAGTACTGAGGAGTTAGGCTCTTTGTTAGGGATAATTAGAATGCATGAGGAAGAAAACCAAGCTGCCACATGAAATAAAATATTTTTCCATTGTTCTTATTTATCTTTGGATTTTTTTTTTCAGTGAACCCTCTCTAATTTGGTATCAGGAAATGAAATAGGAATGATACTGAAATCTAGACAAGTGTGTGATTTGGTATCAGGAAATGAAATAGGAATGATACTGAAATCTAGACAAGTGTGTGTGTGTGTGTGTGTGTGTGTGTGTGTGTGTGTCATACCCAGCAGGGGTTACACTTAGTTCTCAGCTCAGAAATGAATCCTGATTGTACATGGGATATGCACTGCCAGGCACTGAACCAGGAGGAAAATACCTTTATACTCTGTGTCATTTCTAGCTCCACTGTAGATTAAAGGTTTGAAATAGATGTAAGCATTGCCTTTAATTTGACAATTGGGTAATAATTAAAGAAGAGAAAATTAGGGGACCACAGAGGTAGCTCAATGGGCTGGAGTTCATGAAATGGCACTCGGGGGTCACAGATTTGAGCCCTTGTAATTCAGGGCTTCTAGAAATGCTCCCTCAGCATTTCTAGTTGTGACCCAAAAATATAATAAGGAAATTAAAAAAAAGTAAAATGTCAGTTCTTATTTGTTCTCTCTGGCACATCCTCTGAACACTAGAGGTCGCTGGGCCTGTAGGGAATGCTTTGGATCCCAACTCTGGGAACAGGGCTGTTGCCAGGGGGACCTGAGATTTGTAAGAATAGCACTGTCACTGTCTTACTGTCCGCTTATTGTTCATTGATTTGCTCGAGTGGGCACCAGTAGCATCTCCATTGGAGACTTCTTACTGTTTTTGGCATAATGAATGCACCATGGGTGGCTTGCTGGGCTCTCCGAGAGGGAGGGAAAAATCAATCCCAAGATGGCCGTGTGCAAGGCAAATGCCATAGCCACTGTGCTATCAATCCAGCCCGTTTGTAAGACTAACATAGGTTAATTGGCCTTGATTTGTAGGAGTCTGAAGGTTTGAGACATGGGAAACAGACATCTTGGGATGTCAGCAATACTTAAACCTTGTCTCTACCTTAGAGCAGTTTTTTTCTAGTTAAGACAATACCCTCCCTCTTCCTGCCACTTGCTAGCTAGTGCGCAGTGCATGTAGATATTCTCCCTCAGCCTCTGTTTAACCATAGTCTTTCCTAATAAACTTTGTCATGTGACTATGAGTCTATGGCCCATGTGGTGGCTTTGTCTTGGCCATGCTGTGCACACAATCTGAGCGTCCATTCCCCTAGTTTCACACTCCTGGGGTCTCCACGTTACTGGATAACTACACTTATCTGACAGGCATTTGCTTTTGTGTATGTGCTTATAAAAATGAGGTATTCATATCAGTACTTTGGTATTAATTTGGGATATTGAAGGATGATTTGTCACTTAAAAAAAACAATTACTAGTCAGTGTTTAAACAATCATTCCCTCCTTTTATTCAAACACCATGTTTTATAAACTTGTTTGTGATGCATTTGTTTTAGGCATTTAGTATTTCACTACCAATTCCATCAACAATGTGACCTTCCACCATTGTCCTCATTTTCCCAACCATCCACCAAGACTGCTCCCTTAGCATGCACAAAATAATTTTGTATTGCTTGTTACAAACAACCAACTGGCTAATGCGATGATCAAAAAATACTTGAGTAAGAAAATTTATGAAAATTGTTTCACCATAGGGACATGAAGTCCTTGTCTTAGGGTTTGTTAAGATTTGCTCATTGACCCTTCTGCGTTACTGTTTTTAATGAGCTTAGTTGGCTTCTTTGTTATTTTCCCAACTGATTTGGTGTGCCCCTACTGGGATGTCAGTAATGCAGTTTGGAGGTGTTGGCATTTGCTGCCCTGCACTCCAAAAACTAAAATATTTAACTGGGCAATGAGCTTACATGGTAACATTTGTGGGATGTGAGTGTGACTACCAGGGTTTCTGGAAGTACAGTGGGTGGAATGAGGGAGTAGGGGAACTACTTGGCCCCACTTCAAGAAGACCCTAGAGTCCTTTTTGGAGACTGGTGTACCCGAAGTTTTCAGCAGCCTGGTATCTACAGAGCTTAGTCTGTGGTGGTGGAATTAGGCTGTGGGCATGTGAGTGTGACTGCTGGGGCTTCAGCAGAGTGGGGACTCATCTTGCTCCCCTCTTCGAGTTTTCAGTACAGAGACCCATGTATAGTAATATTTTAAAGCCCTGTGTGGTTTCTAAGTATTTTATGCTTTGATGTATCTTTTTTTATTTTAACTCTTGAAGACTTTAAGTAAATACTAGTTTTTCAATCATTGTTCATAACCAGCACCATGAGTAGGATTGTTGGAGAATCCTGCACATACATACATGCTAGCCTTGTTTCCATTGTAAATGACTATTATAGCATCATTTTCTGTCATAAATGTGTGTGCATATGTGAATCTTTCAGGTCTTACAGCTTCTAAGAACCTAGATGGAAACTGCAAATTTCTTGTTTTTTTTTCTACCACCATATCAACTGGCATTTAAATTTGATGTACAATCTTTTCACTTTGTAGTAATCTCTTTGATTTATAACGGAACTATTTGCCCCTGTGCAGATTTTGAGTCATTTTGGCTTAGTTATTTTTAATAACAAAAGTGACAGAGAAATAAGAAATAGGAAGCTGGAATGTGTGGTTTGCATGTGGAAGACCCAGGTTTCTCCCTAACAAGTTGGGTGTGTCCCCAAATCAAAAATTGGCAATTTAAACCCCTATAGTAGGTTCAAGTTGTTAAACTGTATTAATACATTTGGGTGGAAAGAAGGACCTTCCAAGTGGGACACCTCCCAGTGATTCTCTTAGCTGACTGATGGTTCTGCAAAGGCTGTGCAAGGGCTATCCTAGTGGCACTTGGAGGCCTCCACGTTAATACCCAGTGATGCTCAGAGAATCAAGTGTCTGGGTTCAAATGGTTCATCTGTACTCATGGTGTGTACTTTAGTGCATTATACCACTCTCCAGCCTCATGACATTTATTTCAAATATAATTTTTAAAGCACCGTCTAAGATCTTCAGTGTAAAACAGAATTCCTAAGTATTCTGATTTGCTTTGTTTGATTTTTGTATGATACTCAGGGTGCTCAGGACTTACTCTTGGTCGTGCTGGGGGACCCTACATAGTTTGGGGGTAAATGAACCAGACATCTCTGCAGAGCAGTTATAGACTTGGTAGAACAGACTTACTTTGTCAAGTGTCTAGACAAGTCCACAGCAAGTGGATTGCTAAATATGCTAAATTGAATTGTCTTCAAAAGCAGTATCAAAAGGACCAGAGATAATTATAGGAGTTAAGGCACTTTTCTTGCACAGAGCAAAGCCCAGTTGGATCCCCAGCACTTCATATGTTCCCCCTGAGCAATATCAGGAATGATTCCTGAGTACTGTTGAGTAAAACTGTAGAGGTGATAAGGTTTCTTCAAAACCCTGAATTTTAAAACATGAAATTAGCATGTTAAAAGGACTGAAGATGGCTTTGGAAAATAGTTCAAAGGGTGGAGCATACTTTGCCTGTGGTAGGCCTTCACTTAATCCCAGGCACCACGTTATTTCCCAGCACCACCAGGGGCATGGGAACCGCATCTCCAAAATGTCAAAAAGTGCTGTCACTGTCCTCCCGTTGTTCTTCGATTTGCTTTAGCGGGCCCAGTAACGTCTCCATTGGAGACTTTGTTGTTACTGTGTTTGGCATATCGAATACATCACGGGTAGCTTGCCAGGCTCTGCCGTGCGGGCGAGATACTCTCAGTAGCTTGCCGGGCTCTCGAAAAGTGCTAGTCACAAGTTATTGACACATTAATTTGTGAGTTCTTAATTCAGAGATATCATTGGTAAATACGAGCCATGAGCTATGTATGATTATTTGTAACTGAGTTGGGGGGGAAATGGACAAAGGAATGGTGTAGTATAAAAACTGGTCAAATGAAAGGGCAGTATATCGTTTTAACTGCATTAATTACAGGGAATGTTTAATGCAGTACATGCAAACTGTCATGGCACCATTTTTTTCACAAATTTCTACTAAGGTGTTTCCATTTATATAGAAGCAGTAGTGAAGCCTGACTTATCTGAAGAGGTAAAACTATACTCAAATGTTGGGTTTAGCTTTGTTTCTTTAATTTTTAAAGCAGAACCTGCCTTGGAAACAAGGGCTATTGATTAGCAGCATTAGTGTTTTTTTTTTTTAATTTTTTTTGCTTTTTGGGTCACACCCAGCAGTGCACAGGGACTATTCCTAGCTTTGCACTCAGGAATTACTCTGGCGGTGCTTGGGAGACCATATAGGATGCTGGGAATCGAACTCGGATTGATCGTGTACAAGGTAAACACCCTACCCACTGTGTTATTGGTCCAGCCCAGCAGCATTAGTTTTACAGACAGTATTCGAGGGAAGTAGCCTTAAAATCCCATGCAAAACGATGGAACAACCTAGAATAGCTCTTGACAATCAAGATTCAGATTCTTACAAGACCTAAGAGATAGAACAATGGTTAAGACACTGGCTTCAGTTGGTTCCCAGACCTATGTCTTAGCTGAAATAAAGCCATATATTTTGAACTGAAAATATATACAGCATACTGTAAGATACCTACCTTCAAAAATACCTTTTCCAAGTGAGCCTCCCGAGTTGAATCTACAGGACAGTCTAATTAGCAACAGACAGTAGCTTCTGGTGATCACCTAGCTGTTCTCGGGCCTGTTTCTATAAACTTTTAGTTAAGTCAGTCACTGTCACTGTCCTCCCATTGTTCATCGATTTGCTGGAGCGGGCCCAGTAACGTCTCCATTGGAGACTTTGTTGTTACTGTGTTTGGCATATCGTACATCACGGGTAGCTTGCCAGGCTCTGCCATGTGGGTGAGATACTCTCGGTAGCTTGCCGGGCTCTCCGAGAGGGGCAGAAGAATCGAACTCGCATCAGCCATGTTGGCTGTGTGCAAGGCAAACGCCCTACCGCTGTGCTATCACTCCAGCCCAGTTAAGTCAGTATCCTGAGGAAACAAAAATATCTTACCCTAATGCTATTTTAGGTTGTAACAACAGAAATAACTAACAAAGTTTGTGTTTTCCTCCTCTGTAGTCCTAAAGGATGTCTCATACACCTGTAAGTGTAACATGAGGGAGAGAAACTAATGAAGCAGTGAGGATGACATGAAACTGAAACAAACCTAGGCTAGAGAAACAAACAGCACAGTGAATCTTGGCTTACATGAGTCTGAAATTTGATCACATTGTCCCCTCAGCACCACTGGGAGGAACTTCTGAGCCCAGAGCAAAAAAGTAGCCCTATAAAACTGAAGGGTATGACCTCCAATCAAAGAAATAATAATCTGTAAATCTCAGAAGCTAGCAGTGTGAGCAAGAAAGACAAACTCATACTTGGGATATGTCTTTTGGAATATTCCATACTTGGTATTACTCCATATTCAATGCTTGGAATTCCATAATTGAAATATGTGTCAGGTATAAACAATCATCAAGTGCCTGTTTGGTTTCATTAGGTGTTGTGTCCTTTCAGGGACATTGTTTCTAGCAGATTGGACACATGACAATGGATCCAATTTGGTGATTAGGAGCCTCAACATAGCTTTCACTCCATTACCATGGTCATTTTACTTATGTCCCCATTGTTTTATATTAACCACCCAATATGTCTTGTGTCTCTACCCTTTGTAGGAAATCTTCCAATCTATATTCCCAAATCCTTCAATATCAGTCAGGTCTTCTCTCACAAATGAATTCACAAATACTCCAAACTACAGCAACTTCTCTTTCAGTACAATGGGGATGATGAATAGATATACCAGTTGAGCTACCCCCAATGGACTAGTTTTCAGTGTCACTCTTGAATTGCCTTCTAATTTCAGGTTGTAACAACAGAAATAACTAACAAAGTTTGTGTTTTCCTCCTCTGTAGTCCTAAAGGATGTCTCATACACCTGTAAGTGTAACATGAGGGAAAGAAACATATGAAGCAGTGATGATGACATGAGATTCTAGTCTGCTGGCCCATGCAATACTCTTGCATCCTCTGGTTCTGCATTTATTCAATTCTCGATGTACTTTATTTCACCTTTCACTAAATTATTGCTGCTTCTGCCCAATATTATGACAGTAGCACTGTCAGGGCCATGGCTCATGATTATTAATTGTGATCATGTGATATTTTTTGTCTTATGGAATCAATTTCTTTGTCTTTTTATGATAATTTAGGTCAAATGGCTACAGTTGTTTTAAAAGTTATAGTATTGAGGTACACCATCAACACCAAATGTTTTTGTTTCATTGTATGGAGAGGGACCAGGTTGTGACTCTTCTATTGGAACTTGCCTTAAACTCCAGTTCGCCTACAGCTGCAGACTGAATTGGTCTCATTTCAGGGCTGCAGAGCCCTTTGCTGTTCACAGCTGGCAGCTTTTAATGCTGCTCCACCAGACAGTATTCCCAGTTGGAATATATTGCTTCCAGAAACTAAAGAGGCCTACCAAGCATTATGCTTCATTCCTTATGTGGGAAATTCTGAATGTCATAATTTATCCTTTACTTTGTATGGGATATGCTGGATGCCCCTTACCACTGGAATTCTATATATGTTCTTGATGTGGCAGGTCCCTGAATCTTCTCATGATATATCATACTCACCCTCTGGAAAACGTGTCATGTCAAATATGCTAGCAACTTTTGGTTCATGTGAGCAAAAAAATAAAATCACATCATCAAAATAATGGATTGACACATTGCATGCTCTTCAAAAAACATTTAAATAGAAAGCCAAGAGCATTTAAATAGTCCCTAGTTAAATCTATAAATATGTGCTGTGGTCTTTTCCCTATGAATGAAACTTAAATTTTTTTTTCTGACAATGATGAAAAAATTATTCATCCTTCCAATAAATGGGTATGTACCTGAAGTCAGGTTCACTTGGAAAATAAAGGATACCACATCTGGTATTGTACTTAGTTAAGGCTACTACTACAGCATCTTGTATAGTCTACCATCATTCTTCACAGTTTGCATAAATATTATGATAAAAAATCTTTTAGCTGTTTAACAGGTGCATTAATTTCCTCCAACACCACCAAGTTAAGTTACTGTTTCATATTTATTATTGGCTGTAGTTCAAAGATACAATGTGAATAACATTATAAGGTACTAAGTATTTCTTTTCTAAGAACTTGTTCAAAGGCTAAATAAACGTCATTGTCAGTGCACTGTGTGCCAAATATTCTCCAGGACCCTCTTCTTTACCTAGCCCCCACACAGCCACATTATAATGCATCCTATGAATCCCAAGTATTATGTCAATTCAGATCCTGCAAAAAACTTGGGGGGTTACTCCTCTTTCCTCAGTGCACACTTGCCCAAGTAAATGGAGGAAGAACTAGGGGGATCGGTGTCCTATATATTTGACATGTGCTAGAGTTTCTTTCTCCTGGGGGCATGGCCTTTTCTCATTGGCTCAAAGTAAGAAATAGAATAATGATGTCCCCCCCCCCTTTTATTTAAGCACCATGATTTGCAAAGTTGTTCATGATGCATTTGTTACAGGCATTCATTTTTCCAGCACCAATCAAAAACGAATGTAACCTTCCCTCCACCATTGTCCCCATTTCCCCAACTATTACTAAAGCCTGCTGCAGTATCAGACCCCAAACAATTTCTTTTATATTGCTTATAACCACTAAATGGCTAATGGAAAGAACAGCAAATGCTTCAGTAAAAGAAAATTTGTGAAAATTGTGTCTCACTATGAGGATATCAAGTAAACACTAGCCTGAGTGTTTACTAAGCTGTTGTGGCTAGTTGTATCTATTGTGTTAATGTACTTGTTAGTTGAACTTCTATGTTCCATTCCCATCCAATCTGGTGTGCTCCATCCGGGATGTCAGCATTATAGACTTTGAAGACATTTTGCAGCCATGCACTCCAGAAAATCCCGAATATTTAGCTGGGCAGTGAGCTTACATGTTGGTGGTGGTGGACTGTGGGTATGGCTGCCTTGGTTTTTGAAAATACAGGGAGGTGTGTGGGTGGGTGCGGGCAGAGTTCACTTACCCTGATTCTGAGGAGATCCAGAGTTTACAGACAAAAAACCTAGAATAATGACATTTTACTGGGCAATTACTCCTAAGCCTTTTGAAGCTGATTTACTTTAACGGTACATATGGAATAATTCTCTTGCTGGTTATTCACACTTGTATGACCTCAGGCACCATGTACAGTCCCTGAGCACTGTCAGGAGTGAGTGATCACTGACCTAGGAGTAATCCCTGAGCACTATGAGATGTGTCTCACACCACCCCCTACCCCCAAAGTAAAAGTTGACTTGTATTCTGGAGACCTAGTTTCTATATCCAGCACCACATGGGTCCCTAAACACCACAGGGAGCAACTTCTGAACAACAAACAAAGAGTAGCCTTTGAGCACTGTCAGGTGTAGACCCTCCTTACAAAATAATCATATCACATCTCTGTAGATGCAAAAAGGCATTTCATAAAATTCAACGTCATTCTTAACTCTCAAAAAACTGAGTATCAAGCAAAGGAACCTCAGCATAATAAAGGTCATGTCATGGTCAGGGGAAAGAAGGAAGTATGGACATCAGAGACAAACTGAAGGTACTTGGGAGGCATTGTACATAAGAGAAGTAAATGCCACAGAGAAATACAAACACTGCATGCTATCACATATAGGATATGGTTGTGAAGGTCAGGGAGACTGGGAAACAAAGAGTGCTTAACAAAAGGGCACAAACATATCTACAAGTAAGTTCTGAGACTCTAATATAGAACAATGGTTATAGTTTATAATATTGTATTATTTAGTTGGAATTTGCTGATAAAGTTCCCAAATCTGCTTTTTTAAATCCAGGTTTGAGCAGGCAGATAGCATCGGAAGAGAGTTGGGCTCAATTGTGGGTAGGAGAGAGAGTTGGGCAGGGGGTTCGGGGGCGGTAGGGGGTGGTAAGGGGCTTGTCTCACATGTCAACTTTAACCCATCCCAGTTTGATCTCCTGAACTATAAAAGTTCGCGGAGTACTGCCAGGAGTGATCCCTGAGCACAGAGCCAAGAGTAGTCCCGAGAACCACTGGGTGTGGCTCAACCCTCCCGTCCCCCTAATAAGAAAATAGCACAGTTAAGTGCCCTGCATAGAGATTATTCAGGATATACTGCCTTGCCTCTGCTCCAGCCGATAGCACACCGCTAGGGCGTTTTCCTTGTACGGGGCCCACCGGGATTCAATTCCTCCACCCCTCTCCGAGAGCCCAGCAAGCTACCAAAAGTATCATGCCTCCACGGCAAAGCCTGGCAAGCTCCCCGTGACATATTCATATGCCAAACACAGTAACAAGTCTCACAATGGAGACGTTACTGGGCCCACTTGAGCAAATCGATGAACAATGGGAGGACAGTGCCAGTGCTTTCCATTGGTGAGTTAATGACCCCACTTTGGGAAATACTAGAAGACACTTCCTACTGGCAAAAACGGTGTTAACCCAACCCGTACCTCTTACATGCGTGTCGTGCATCGTTGTATCCTCTGCACTTGGTTAATCTCTGGGCACCTAGTAGGTCTTCAGTCCGTGGTTGGTGAAACTTACTAGGTGCTCGTGAGACTATGACTCCTAGATAAAAATTTAAGGCACAGCGAAATCTGTGCGAAACATCAGTTGGGTTCTCCGCACCCGAAGCGGCTGAATAAGCCGCGCCCTTGGACGTGCTAGGCGCCAGGAAACCTGCGAGCGAGGCGCCTTCCTCCTCCCCGTCGCGCCTGCCCGTCCTCGGGGCGGCAGAAGACCAGCGGGCACCGGGTGGCGAGGCTGACGCCGTCCTGGAGCCGAGCGCGGACTACACTTCCCAGCAGACTCTCCTGCGCGCGCCCCTGCCCGCGCACGGGGGCCCGGGGAGGCGAATGCACTAGGCGCTCGCTCCCTGCCGAGCGCTCGGCGCCCGTCGGAGCCTTTGCCAGGGGATGAGGTGGGAGGCGCTAGAAACCACTTAGCTACCGCCAACCGCCCAATGCAGCACTCGCTCCCTCCGCCAGCGGAAGCGCCCGCGGAGCACAATGCAGCACTGAGGCAGCGCCGCGGTGGAGGCTGCAGCGCCGCGGCCGCCGCAGCACCAGCCGGCGCGGGGAGGGGGCGGCCGAGGCGAGCCGGGAGCCGCGAGGCCAGGGAGCCGAGCCCCGCAGGTCGGGCATGAGGAGCTGAGCATCTCCATCGAGGCGGGCTGACGGCAGCAGCACCATGCCGCGGGGAGCTGCTGCGTTCGTGCCCTTCTTGCTGCTCTGCGCCCTGGGGACCTGCCCCCTGGCGCGCTGCGGCCGGGCAGGTAAGTTCGCCACCCACGGTGGTTTCTGGACGCACCATTTCCCGGGTATCCACGCAAGCCCTCTGGCGCTTTGAAAAGGGGGCATCCCCGAGTGCTCGGGGAGATTTTTTTTAAAAATTATTTTTGGAAGGATGATGAGAAGTGCAGCAAAAATACATGTGTGGGGGCGCGCGGATGCCTTAGGAGCTTTTGGTCCAATGTCTGCTTTTCGTCTCCAGAAACGGAATGCGGAGGATGGGAGAGGGGTGCGCGGCTTCTGGGCCCCGATCCTGGATGCTCTTCGCGAAGCTGGTCCCCGGCTCCCCGGCCGGCGTGTCCGCGTCCTTCCCACGGGAGGTCCGGGAGGGTGGGGACGCAGCGGGCGCGTGTGAATCAGGGTCATCATTTTCGCTTCTCCCCTCTCCTTTCTTGCCCCGCCTGGTTGCCTGGAGGAGACTCCTCGGTGACGGAGCTGGAACGGAGGAATGAAAACCGCTTCCTGCAGCGCCAGAGCATCGTGCCCCTCCGGCTCATCTACCGCTCCGGGGGCGAACGCGAAACCCGCCACGACGCGCTCGACACTCGGGTGCGGGGCGACCCCGGCGGCGGGCAGGTGAGAGGCGCGGTCCGGGGGAGGCGCGCAGTGCCGCGCGGCCCACCCCACCCACCAGCCCACGTTGGCTCTCGGTTGCCCTGGAGATGCGAGGTCTCGGGGGACCAGAGCGGAGTTCCAACGCGAGTCATGCGTGGCGCTCCCTGTGCGAAATCACACTCGGAGTAGTGATAAAATTCTTTTGAATAATAAAGGATATGGTAGACAGAACCCCCGAAAGAGCCCGCGCCCGGGGGCTTTGCGCCCGCTTTTGTGCGGGATGCCGCCGGCACTGCCGCAACAGAAGCAGAGCAGCGGAGACCCAGCATTTTGGTCAAGTGAAAGGCTTGGAGAGATGAGAAGGGCGATTTGGGGGCCCGGTTTGCATCGTCATTATTGCTGCCGAAGACTTAAATCATCCAAAATTGGCCCTTTGGAAAAATAGGAAAAACAAGTCTAACCATCCCGAACTAAACTCACACCCTGAACATAAGCTCAACCTCAAGGATCTCAGTTCACTCGATTTTCGCACCTCAGAGATGCATCCGTTCATCTCCCATCACCCCCAAAAGATACCCTCTCCCATCCTTCAGTGGCAGTGGTTCCCTCAGTCATAGTTGATAATTTCTTGAAAAAATCTAAGGTCCCTGTTTACCCATATTTGAATCAGTATTTCACATCCACAGATTGTCTTAAAAATATTTTTAGAACATACTTGTTAATTTCAGTAACTATTTTTGGGTGCTATGATTTTGTTTTGTATTTATCAGCTTGGTAACCAGTTCACCCACCTGTAAGTATATGTTAAGATAGAACTTACGGGCCGGATAGAAAGTACAGCAGGTAGGGTATTTGCATTTCACACGGCTGACCCGGATTGGATCCCCAGCATCCCATATGGTTCCCGAGCATCACCTGGAGTAATTCCTGAGTGTAGAGCCAAGAGTAATCCCTGAGTATGGTCAGGTGTGTCCCCCAAAAGTAAACAAAATTTTTTAAAAAAGATAGAACTTGCTCATGTAAATGAAAATTTTGAGGATTTTACTTGAAGCAAAAACAAGATAAATATTTTCACATGTGTGAAACATTCATTAATACTGTGTGGCACTTGATGATGTAATATTTCTACCTAGTTATCCTAGGTATAAAATGTGTAGAAATAGAAAAAAATTATACTTAAGTCTTTATTTGTGACCAGATGCTTAGTGTCAAAAAATTAATATTAGGTAGAAATTTATATGTGAAGGGTTTCAGTAATATCCATCAAAAATAGGTTATTGTAGGGGGTAATTCCTGACATGAAGAGACCTGCAGTTCAGTTCCTCACACCACTGGGACCCCTCCATTGGCACTGCAGGGTGTAACCTGGTGGTCCCTGAGTAATGCTGAGGTTACAGTGATGGCCCCTATCTTTTTCTGGGCACTGCCTCTTGGCCGGTCTGACCTTGAAATATCAGGGCCATGCAGTGTGGAGAGAGTGGACCAGCACTGGTTGGAGGGGGCTAATCTCACCAAAAATGATGATAGTAAAATCTGAAGAAGCAGAAGACAATTTGCTTATTTTCCGATGAATTAATACTTTTTCTCTGAAGAAAATATTGTCTCATTTGGGGCCAGAGAGATAGTAGAGGAGGCGGGCTACTTGCCTTGCAGGTGACTGACCTCAGGTTGAGTCCTCAGCAGCATCACATATGATTCCCTGAGCACCACCAGGAGTGATTTCTGAACACAAAGCCAGGAGTAAGCCCGGGGAACTGCTGGGTGTGGCCCCCTCCAAGAAAGAAAGAATATTATCACCTTTAGTTATAAAATATTTCAAACACAAGCATAAGTAGAATATTATTTTGTATCAATTTGATAATTTTATCCTGAACTCCCATCTTCAACAATTAGCAACTCATGGATAAGCATGTTGTTGCTATATTCTTTCTATGTTTTCCCCTCCTCTTCTTCAAAAAGTATATTTGTGTTTGTGTATGTGGTGGGGGGAGTGGTGTGTTGGGCATACTCAGGGCTTATTCCTGGCTCTGTTCTCAGGGATCATTCCTGGTGACACACTTGGGAGATCGTATGTAGTGCCAAGCATCCAACTGGGGGTGGCCACATACAAAACAAGCAGCTCAGTGCCTGTAAAATGTTTACCAGTATGTTTCTGAAAGGATGATGATTTAAAGAGAGTAATCACATTATATATAGTATATAAACATTGATTATTAATAATTATATTTAAGATGTTGGGAAAGACGAGTAAGGAGAGGCCGCTAAAATCTCAGGGCTGGGATGAATGGAGACGTTACTGGCGCCTGCTCGAGTAAATCGATGAACAACGGGATGACAGTGATACAGTGATACAGTGATATATTTAAGACATTTGTATTCAAATCTCTTTAACCCAGGACCCAAAAAAGTTTCATGGTCTGCAATTAATTTTAAGTCTCTGTAATGCCCGATTCTTTCCTCCATTTCCTTGTTGTTGTTTTTTCTTGAGTTTATTCATGGGGTCTTTCATGTGGTGGGAAGTATTTCACAATCTGGCTAATACTGCAAGTATTTTATAATGAATAACAAAGCTTTCTGAGAGGAGGGATTAGAAATACAGTGGGCTTGGAAACTCCAGAATCTTTCATATGCTAGCAAGGTGGTCTTTGGGCACTCTCTACCCTTCTCCACTTGGGGAGAGACCTTCACTTTTTTGGGAAACAGGCTAGTCCCCCTCCTTTCTTTCCACTGATGGAGCGGCACTCCCTCAGGGTGTCGGTTCATAGCCATCTCCGCTTGAGTCAGTGATACTTTAGGCCCCCTACGGTTATTCCTTCCAAAAGCAATAAACTTAACAATTGACAAGAGTGACTTTGGCTTTTGATAAGATATGAGTTATGGGTGGGATTTTGGTAAAATTGCTGAAAGTGAAGGTCTTGTTTGTCATCAGAGTAAGAAATTAGCACAGTGCCTGGCACAAAATAGGTGCATGTGGTAAGTTATCTGGTTGGCTCTCTGGAGCCGTTGGGGAGCAGTGGCTCTTTACTCCTTAAGTAAAGCCATGGCTTTTTAAGCTCCAGTGAAAGATCGTTGACCACTAGAACTGAATCTGCAGGTAATGATGTAAGCATTTAGTGGCCGTATTTGACTTTTGTTGTCATTGTTGTTGTTGTTGTTGTTGCCATCTTTGCTGTATCTGACTTAGTTGCCATGGTTGACTCTTCTACTGTTGGAAAAGTTAGACGTTTCCCTGCATTTTGACATTTCTGTTTTTTTTTTTAAAGAACTGTCATTAGACCATACAGTCAACATAAGTTAATTTCATATGACCTTTGTTAGTTCTCCAGTAATTAAATAGATGTAATTTATGACCTCTTTGCTACTCATACGTTTTTAGCAACATACTATTCCAGGAGAAAGAGTTCACAAAGCTTATAAATTCATTTATTGAACTAGTTACTAAAAAATGTATGCATTTACTTGTACTACTACTGTATACAAACTTTTGTGCTAGGACTAAGGATTTAGAAATAAAAGACAGCTTTATTATTAAGGGAAGATATGTCGGAAGAGTAAGCAGTTACTCTTGGCTTTTCCTTTCTGATTTTTGTGGAGCTCATCATACAATATGGCAGCAACAAAGGAGACCCAGTACTTAACCAGGGTGAATAATCATGGTAGGCTTTCAGGGCAAGGTGCTCCCTAAAATGTGTATTGACTGTCAATAGGAATTGGCAAGGTTAAAGGAGAGAGTAGTTATATCAGGCTGTTACATCAGACAGAGCAAGTTCGTAAACATGTGGGACTTGACATTTTTGTTAATTTTATACAGTTAAGATTTAAGGAAAAGATAAGAAAATAGGAAGACAGAGAGTAAATGCTACAATACTTTCATGGAAAATGCTGAGAAATTTGGACTGTGTCTCAAAGGTAATAATGGGATTTCAATAAGGAGCATTAACTGACCAGATTCCTGTCATTCTTAGTTGTTAGGAACTTCAAAGAATGTATGCGTGTGTGGTGTCTCACTATAATTTATTGATAAATGCCAGTTCACTTACTCATTAAATTTCATAATAAGTTAATGACTAAGCATCCTGAAAATTCTGTTTAAATGAGTTGTTATATATAAAGCTCTTAGAATGATGCTGGACATGTTGTAAGTACTGTAGGGTTTTTATTAAATAAAATTGACTCCCACAGGCTACATGAGTACTATTTAGAAATTTTATGACTTCACTTCGGTGCAGAATTGTGCTCTAATTTCCTAAGCTTAACACATTCCCAGAAGTAAGTTACAGATTACTCAGATTTATATAACTAAGTGGAACCAAATAGTCCTAGAGATCGAAGAGACCTTGCAGATCATATAACCTATTTGAAGAACTGATTTTCACCACATGAGATCAAGGAAACTAGCATTGCTTTATTTAATGTTAGAACCATGTTGCTATAAAAAAAATAATTTTGTTTCGATTCTAATTACTCCAGGTAACAGAAAAATATTTTTTGAAGAAATTTAAACTTTTATGGAAATACTGGCAGTTTGATGTGTAGTAATAATTCTGTTGCTATGAGTTGGTATTGTAAAACATTGCTGCTTGACTTGAATGCATACTTTATTTATTCCCCATGAACGGTCAGCCGGTGATGAAAACTTATGAAGTCACAGCATCCTAGAAATGATAATCAAAAAATATTTTTTATAGTGAGTAAACTGGACTCTCATCAAGGTTATCTACGTAATGTGAAATAAGTTCAGTATGGTAAAATGCTACTCATTGCTAGATTACTAGAAATCATCAGTCTTTATTCTAACCTATGGTTATTTGTGCTGAAGGAATGATATGTTTTCAGGTAATATAATAAAATTTAATTAAAAGGTAATCTGGTAACATGGTTTTGTGTGTGTGGGTGGGGGGCTATATATACAGGTGCTGCAAGGAATCATGTGATGCTGGGAAATCAATCCCAGGGCTCTATGTGCAAAGCATGTGTTCTACCCTTAACAGCTATCTCCCTTGCCCAGCACTTCTGCATTT